TGGTCAACCATTAAAGTCTGAAATCTTTGTTTTTTTATTTTAATGATTGCCGCATTCTGATACAAACAAAGTAAATACTCACATGCTTATAAATCAGTTTCCGTAATATTTTTTATCAACCGTAGTTGTGATGTTTCTGCTAGTAAACATTGCTGATTCACAACTCGTATTTGGTCTGCGGAAATATATTCAAACTTCGGCAATATATTAGTTAGGCATTCAGTAAGTGGTTGGGAGTATTAAATGTGAGAATACTGTGTTTAACTGCATTTTCTGTATTTAACTATCTGTATTTTCAATATTTATGCAAACAGCATATTTGATCTACCTTTACATATTTGTCACGAAGGAGAATTAAGCTATTGCATCAGAAAGTGAAATTTTACAATATTCTGTCGATTTTGATAGTTGTTAGTCTTTTTCACTTGACTCTAAAGATTTAGCTTTTTAACCACCATAGTTTTCGATTGTATTTCTTGGGTTTTCCTTTAACATGAGTGCACTCATATATGCGAAGTTAATAATATATTAGCTTACTTTAGCTCTTTTTAATAATAATGATTTTAAATTTCATTACGTACGTAAAACTTTTTATGTGCATTTAGGGTGTTTGAATAGTTAAATCCTACCGGAACAGGCACTTTCCATTTTACCTTAAAGTATAATGTTTTGTTTTCAGATAGTCCTAATACTTGTAAAATACAGATGAGTGATACTCAAGATTAGACTGTGGTATGTTCTGGCATGCCTTCCATTCTTATAAGCATGAATAAAGTGTTTTCATTTACTGGACTGTGAATGAATAAAGTAATCTCTAAAGCACTGTGAGTAACTAACAGATCTAAGTATGCTGTTTTCTTCTTAGGCGTTACATGAAACACGAGCTCTTAAAAAATAGGTCTCACTTATAACTGTTACTTAAAACGCAATATCAGTGTAATCATCCAGATTTTTGATAAAGCATGCAGCAGAGTTCATCAGGTAATGTAAAATTAGTAGACTTTAATTTATTAGTAGACTTTATTATTATAGAATTATTAGACTTTGAATGCGTTTGATTTCCCATTGAGGATATTTTTAATACGTTTTCATAAAGCTGCTAAATTTATACGAATGAAAGTAAAATGGACACTAGATTAAGATGCGAGTATGTGGGTTTGTTAAAAATTACGTGGGATTGTTAAGAGCAATTATGTAATGAAACTCTCTGTATGCATTGCGTTGACGAATTAAGTTTCCAGAATTCTGAGAAATATCTTAAATATTCCTACTACCATCTCACTTTACATAAAATATGATTTAATACGACAGACCGTCAAGAACTCATTTCGAATTTATATCGGATCATTCTCATTAGTCTAGAAAATATAATCGCTTCAAGAGTCGTACTTAAAAGTTTCTTTAAAATCCCTTTTCTACATTAAACAACCCACCAGAGGCTGAGAGGTAAAGTGTTTGAATAGCTCTAGTTTGGTTCGTAGTTCGAATCCTGGCGAACGGGCTGCCTGCATGAGCGTTTTTGTCGTTTTTCTCCATGTGTAACGAGTATACAAGCCAGTTTTACTTAGAAATTTCTCTAGGAATGCATCCCTCCTCTTAGGCAGACAGCCCTAAAGTGCTTTGCATAATTAAATAAACCAAACTTTTATTTTAGACGTCAGATAGATATTCAAATTAAAATGACTTCTAAAATTCGAATAATTTCTTTTAGAATTACAGTACTCTAGAACACTAACACCAAATATGCCACAAATTATTTTTTAACTGAGCAACAGCTTCAAAATATTGAAAACAAAGTAGTCTATTCAAGCGCAAAATACCAAGGAAATGATAATATTGTCTTTAGGGAAATTTAATTTATCTAAGAGCATAAGCGACGATCGATTTGCATTGCGTAGGAGGAATGACAACTCACATATTACATTAGTGCTAAATTGGATCTTCACAAGAACTGAAAGTCTTGAGATTGTGCATATGCAGTAAAACTATTGTGAATTTCTCTATGCTGTAATCACTGAACCGAAGCAAAGATACACAGGAATTTCTGATCAGTATAAATTAATTTAATTTTATATTTTGCATCCTTAATTCTCAATTTTTATTACCCTCATTTTTACATGTCTCATTTTTAGGAAAACTCTCACGTACTTATGAAATTTATCTGACAAAGAACTAACATTTTCGATTCTTTTCAATTAATCAAAAAATCCAGAAAATTAAAGAATATAAATGAAAAGAAGAAAATAAACTAATATCTGTTTTTTTATACCAACTACCTATCTTTTCTTCACAATACACTCATGTCCATAAATTAAGGATAATTCGGAGTTACGCGGAAATCGAACTCTAAAATAAATATATCGCCTGTAAAATCACTACACACATCTTCAAGAATCATATGTAAATTTCAGGAAATAACCAGATGACACCGATGGTAAGTCACTATGATATATAAGGAATACAGGCAAAGAAGTAAAATTGTTCGCAGGCGCTTTATAAGCATTTCAGTGCAATAACCGAATAGTTATGACACAAAGGACGCATTAGGATGATTTTTTACGTAGTTTAATTATCGGACGTCTGGAATGTGGGCGTACCCAACTGGAAGTATCAGACAAACTAGGAATTGCCCAGAGTGTCATCTCCAGGCTTTGGCAACGATTCCAAGATGATGGTAATGTGAGTAGACGTTACAGCACAGGTCGCGACAGAGTTACAACTCCGAATGAGGACCGGTATTTGGCAGTTACTGCCAAATGAAACAGACGTAGCACAGCCTCAGACCTGTCTCGTCAGCTCTCTTCAGCCACTGGTACGACAATTTCAAGGCAGACCGTGTACAGACGCTGAGGGCAGATTGGTCTATACGCTCGTAGCCCTGTCAGATGCGTTCCACTTACTGCAACTCACTGTCACCTGCAGTTAGCCTGGAGTAGAGAGCATGCATTGTGGACATCGCAACAGTGGGCTTGTGTGATGTTTTCCGACGAGTCCAGGTTTAGCTTGCAGTTATGATTGTCGCCGGACTTTCATATGGAGCGCTCCAGGTACCCGTCACCTTCAAGAAAACATCATTGAACGACACCGTTACGGTGGTGCAGGAGTGCTCGTTTCGGGAAGGAATTATTCTGGGTTTCAGAATTGACCTGCATGTTCAAATTGGAACCATGGCAAGCCAAATCTATCGGGACGTCATTCTGGAAGAACATGTACGTTTGTTTCGGGGTGACAAAACTCCAGCAGAAACTTCATCTTACAGGCCAGTCTGCTTACTGCCAGCGGTCGGTAAGGTACTAGAAAGAATAATTCTTTCCAGACTGGACTTTGTTCTGCAAAGGACCAACGCATTGCATCCCAACCAATGCGGATTCCGAATGGGCAACTCAACTCAGCATGCCAAAAAATACTTAATGGCCACTATCCAACATAACAAAGACAACGATTTGCACTCACTGGTAATTGCCATTGACATCAGGGAAGAGTTTGACTCCCTTTGTTGGCCCGACGTAATAAATTTGCTGCACAACATGGCCCGCCCCACAGCTATTATTACCATCCTTCGCTCGTACCTTCAAGATCGAAGTGTGCAAGTAACATCAGACAGTGGCATTTATGTCAAAAATGTCTTTAGAGGATGCCCACAGAGGTCATGTCTTGGACCAACCCTATGGAATATAGTGGCAAACTCGGCATTGCGCCAGTTTGAGAGCGTAGAATATGCTCGAATTATAGCCTAAGCGGAACATTTGATGCTAGTCGTGGCAGGAAGGAGCAACCTCGAAATTAGATCTCAGTACTGTCTTGAGCTATTCTCCCAATTGACCAGAGCGCATAAGCTTTTGATTTCGGCACAGAAAACTAAAGTTTTACTCATAGGGCGCAGCAAACAGCTTAGACGCAACCCATGTGTTAAACTCTATGGGATACCGGTAAAATGTTTCTCCCAATTGAAATATCTTGGGCTAACACTCGACAACAGACTTTCCTGGATGCCACATGTCAGGAATCATAAGACTCGTATTAGCATCCTAAGCAGCAATATGAGACGCATGACTTCACATAAATGAGTTATCTCATCTAAGCTTCTAAACTTTGGCATAGAACCATTACACAAAGAGTAATAACTTACGGAGGGGCAATCTGAGGTGGTGAACCTACCTCTCACTTGAGAAGATCCCTGCTCTCTATTCAGAGACAGCAGCTACTTCAAATATGCAGGGCCTACCGTACCACATTAGCACTAGCTCTACAACAAACAGCAGGAATTCCTCCCTTAGCTTCGAAAGTAGAAAGGGAGACAGCTATCGTAAGGGTTATCAGGCTGGGTCAAACTTCAACACTCATAGTTATCATCACTTGGATTACAATGAACAAAACATCTGCAATAACTTTCATCCAGCTGCTTTTAATCTCTCCGACATTATCAGCGTAAAAGACGAACCAATTCAAAGCAACAGTAATAACCTTTTTACAGATGGCTCCAAAACGGAGAACGGCATGGACAGCGCCTTCTGTAGACTGGAAAATGGTGTTGTAACATTCAAGTGGAAGAGGAAACTAGGTTTGAACAACTCGGTATACCAAACAGAGCTTCTAGCTATCAGCGCTGCAATTAGGTATGCGAACACATGTCAACAGCAGACATTCTCCATGCTCAGCGATTCGGCGTCAAGTCTGGCAGATGTCGCAGGTCAAAACATCCAGAATCCTTTGGTATACCGAATTCACGACCAGCTTCTGGCAGTACCTATCTTGCAAAGACTCTGCTTAAAATGGGTTACCTCTCATACAGGGATTCAAAGCAATGGAGCCGCTGACCTACTGCCAAGCAGGCAGCTAACTGCACGGATATATTAGAAAGACCAGATAAATTTCCTTAGTCTCACATTAAGCGAACATCTTTGATAAGTATGCTATAAAATTGGAAAGGTAGATGGACAAAAGACATATCGCTTGCTGCCAAACGTTAACTGTGCCAGCCTAACACAGTACTTGACAGGTCATGGACCATTCCCAGTAGACCCTAACAGATTTAGACTTAGGGATACTCCTTTCTGCAATTGAGGAGATGAAGGCTTCAGGGACCATTATTACTTTCATTGTGTACATACAAGAACCTGGCACTTGACGAAACCAGCGGCGAACTGTGCCGCTAACCAGGGCAATGTGGACGTTTAACACACTCAAAAACAAAACAGCCCTTGATAAAATAGAAAAAATCCCAAGACACTGTGTAAGCATAAACAACCGTGAATAATATTATGTAATATGTACAAAAGTTCAGAAATTAAAGCAGATAACAAGAATAAAGCTTTTTGCTTGCATTTATCAAACTATAAAAACTGTTATTAGTAGGCAATATTCAACTCTGTTACTTTGGAGTTTTCCCTACCGCGATGGTGTATAATTCGATTTGGTTCATGTCTGTGGTCGGAAGCCATCATAGCGATGTACTCGCTCACTCACACGCATTTCAATAATTCAACGCAAAACAAAAGGCGCAATAAGCGAACAAAATTTATTACCTTTCTGATAGCATTTCGATTAGAAGAGGGCAGTGCGGCAGAGTCTAATCAGCAAAAAAAAAGAAGTAAACAAGTGCAATGTGTTTGAGAGGATACCTTAGTTTCGACATCGGTGTTATTAAATTAGTTACTTAATAACTCTGTAAAATTTCAAGTGGATAATTAAGTTTTAGTTCGCAAAACCATTTGCATTACCAGCGTCCTATTAAAGTCATGAAGGCTATTAATTTGGAAATGATGCAGTTTAGACAGACTTGTTATAAGTAATTACTGTTTTTAGAGCAGAAAGGTAAAATACCCAAATTCAAATGAAGAGTTAAGTACTATTGGAAAATAAACTTTTGATAGAATTTCATAGTGAATTAAATTTAATAATTAAAATAATTAATGAAAACATAATGAATATAAACGCTTTTAATTGATGACTTGATGAACATTGTAAACCAATAACAAGAGTATAATCCATTAATGGCAAGCTGGGAGCTATGACGCCATGTGTAAATTGTAGAAACTTTAATAGTCATTAGTCATAGTATATTCTAAAGATAATGTACAGGAGCTGGTCTCGAGAGATGAAGCACTAGAGAATGGATATGTTAGGAAACACAGTGACAGTAGCTTGATGTTTCAACGTAAGCGTAGTATGTTTAGCTGCTCGGTAAATTTAACTCACCGCTATTCAAACTATCTTTCACAACCATGCGGTCGTTGCTTGTATAATGATACATCACGTATCCTAATATAATAGGGATGATAACATTATTCTAGCTGCTTTGGAACTCTTGGTTAATACTCTGTATTAAAATGTTACAATTTGTTCTGCATTTTTAAAAACTTCGTCAACAGATTTTACTGTCTCATTCGTTTGCTAACACTTCTCATTCCTTGATTAATATTTAAAACTCGAACGTAATTCTTTTCTAGAATTTTAGACAATATGTTTCATTTAACACATTAATTAATGACACTTTTCTTTAAGGTAATATACCATTTTAACCTCCACGCATTCTATTTTAATTGAAAAGAGATTAAATTCGATGCGTTTTATCGCCAACTTACGAAACATTTCTAAATATTTTGAAAGTTAAATAGATTATATTCAGTTTAAGGAGCCCACCGTTACTCTATATATTCTTTAAACAGGTACATTTTCTGTAATTTAATTAGTTATTTTGTAGAGGTATTAGATTATATGGTTGCAGGGAATTTAAAAGTAAGCAATGCCCTCTCCGGGATTCGAACGCCGTACCTCCCAAATACTAGTTGAGAGTGCCTCCAATTGCATCACGAAAGCATGCAGAGAGGAAGGAGAAAAAGCTTTACATACTCCCCCGTTTAACGGAAGACTAGGGATTAGGGGACTCAATCGCGAAATCTTGGTGGTGATCAATTATCGTTCGCCAAATTTTAGTCCGGGCGCCACTTGTCAAATCTTTTCTTTGCAAATTTCTGAAGAAAGGAAACTAATTAAATCCGCACTGCTGTCGTCGAAATTTGAACTCCGGATATCCGTAATGCTCGTCGAGCGTCCTTCCAGTTACGCAACGAAGACACGAGGAAACGTGGGGGAAAGTACATTGCAGTTTGGTTTCCTCAATGAATTACTTGCGTAATTAATAATAATTGCGATAAAAATATAGCAATTTTTGTACCAAATATTTAAAATGAGAAGTAGTCTGAAGTCAGAAAAATGCAATCATCATAGAAGCAAGCAATGCTTTTCGATTTTAGAATATTAAACAATACTATTGCACATAAAATAAAAGATATACACGTCTTAAGAACACAATATAAAATATATACGTATTGAGTAAATATATTTCCAAAACGGTATAAAAGGTCGTTTTATTCTATGAAAAGTGACTTGCAAATTGACTAATATCTACTATATAAAAGTAATATCTTTTTTGAAAATATTATACTTTCGTTCGGTAAGTTAGTTCTACATCTACAAAATCATATGTTCCTTCAAATGTTATTTAGATATTTTGCTTCATTTTTAATGAGTTTCATGTAGAAGAATGAGGTCAAAAACCTTATTAATACATAGTTATGGTAGTATGTAGATTTCACACATGGAAAATATTTCGCCATCAAACTTTGAATATTAAAATTGCTTGCAGTAACGTACAAAGAAATGGCATGGACTACATTACTTTGAGTAAGCTTTTATTTAGCTCACTGATGGTGTGAGAAGCAATTTTGAAAAGATTGTCTTCGATTTTTAAAATATTTTCTCATAAGCTATAAGTCCAAATTATGCACACGCATTGTTTATGGCTATTAATACAATCTGATCGATTTTTACGAAATTCTGTTTAGATTTAAACGGAAGGCTAAAACGATTTACGACAGAATACTTTCATTTAACAAATAGTGATGTTTTTACTGTTTACTTCAATTAATTTTAATTTAAGCATTTTAAAATACGTGTAGTAAAGTCTTGAAATTTTCATAAAATGTAGAACAGACATCTCGCCCTCTTTCAGAACAAAAACAGTTAAAAAATTAAACCGCAGTGTTTGTGCATTATTTTACATATGATGGAGAAATGTTCCGTCTTAAACGTTTCTTGGATTCAGTTTATGATGTTATGATGTCGATAGACGTCACTATATTTTCTTGTTTCCTTGGCATTACTCTAATACTCCTTTTATTTATTTGTTTATTAATTTTCCTCTCCTTGCTAGAAAAAATTACTTCCAACAAAATTGAGCTTATCACAGATGTCTCTTTTCTAAATGCTTCTTTTCTCCCCTTTCTTACAGATAGATTTTTCATTTACTATAAATTTCATATATTAATCGCCAAAACGACATAATTTAAAAATTAATTAGCTTTTAAAATTTTTTGTAACAATTCTATCTCTCCGTTTTTGATTTTCCTTATTTTAAAAGTGTAAATGGGCAGAATGAGTATATAAAGTTAAAGATCAAATGCGTGACGTTTTATTGCATATAATGTATATAAATTTCGATGTAAAGTTATAAGTTATGTATTTGATCATACGGTTATAAATATTACTCGAATTGTTGGCTTAAAGATGATTTTTTATTTGAATACTTTCATTGATAAAGTATAAATGAGATTAAAAAGAAGAAAATAGTAAAAACAACTAAATAGATATTTTTGTAAAAACGTTTATATTTAAAACTCACAAAGTAATACTGAACCTAAAAGCAGAAAAGTAATATATTGTTTCATGGGAAAATCAGATAAAATAATTCTCTTTATAAAAGTCATCAATAAATTTATATAGTGGATAATAAAAATGTAGGCGGTTAAATACAGTAATCTAATAATCAAATTTAATTATTTAAGAAATAAGACATTTTCTTTATAAACATATAAATGACATCCCACGCCTTTATCGTTCGTGATGTAAAAGTTTAGATGAACTTTGCAAAGACAATTATTTAATTTCTTGTTTTCACTAAACAGTTAACACATTCTTTTTCTTTTATCTTTCATTATTTCATGTGCTTCAGACAAAATCATATTTTATAAAACCTTTTTATGCCTTTTACATTCTTTCATTTTTACTTCCTTGTACGAAGTAAAGGAAGTATTTATTTAAATTAACATCCTTATTTATTTTTCTTTTATGTGTGTGCATGTATCTAAAGCTATGCACAGAAAATTACATATATAAATGTACTCGTATGTATAGAGTCATAGACTGTTACATCTGTTGTTTTTGTAATTGGTATATGATATTATAACTATGAAATAAAAAATAAAAAAACTTACTGTTTTATCTCCTAAATTATGCACTTTACAATGCAAGTAGACTGTTTGTCCTAGTTGTGTAGTTACATTTTTTGGCATTGCAGGATCAAATGAGGGCTGTTCGACTTTAGATAAGAGGTGGGAATGGCCAACTAAAATAGGCGACCTTCTTGGTCGTGATCTTGAGAAATTGGTTGGCAACGTTAAGCATCCAAAATCTTGAGTACTGCCTGCAGAAAGGAAATAAAAATAATTAGAAGATTCGTAATCTGAAATAAGAACATTTTTGAAGAAACAAAAATATATATAAATGCAAAGGACAATTTTCGCTATATTTTAACTTAAAGTTATTACATGGCGTAACAGATTGAATAACGTCATGAAAATTGTATAATTTTCTTATGAATAATTCAAGAATACAACTGCATGATGTGTAAAACAATTACTAAATATTTTGCAACTATGATGATCTTAACAACAAATTATTTCTTCCTTCTTCTTTTCAGCTTATATATTTTTATTCAGGTAAAAGCACATTTTATTCAGGTAAAACCATAGGTTTGTATTATTTGATTACGGTCAAATGTCCTATCTGACTATGAGCATGCAAGCGCTCTTGAAAGATATGCACAGGGAACCTCGCGTATATTTATTAAACATATGGGGGGAATGCTAATAAAGCCGCATTTAGCTTGACTGTTCCGCACTTTGGATTAAATCTAATTAAAAATAACTGAGGTTTACGTATTTGACTCATTGGAGGGGACAAACCTAAATGAAATGCTAGTTGCTCATACGCTGAAACAGAATTTATTGCGAAAGATATAATTAAAGTTCGAACAGTTTTTATTGAAATTTTGAAGCCATTTGTTTTTGCACAAACATACCATTAAGACATTCGTTAACATTCTGATGCTTAAACTGTTATTATTTACTGTCTATGCATAACATAACAGAAAATTAAAATTAAAAAATAATTGTCTTAATTTCAGTTTTACGGCAAGTCAATAGAAAAATGTGATTTTATCCTCTATATATTTAATACAGAAATGCTTATGATTAAGTTATGTCAGGTATACTAAAATAATTACTTTTTGATGGCACTCCTCTTGGCGAGATTCTGTTTTATATGTGGTTTGAGATCTTGCCAATTTACCAATTTTTTTAATAAAATGACTCTAAGTCGGCGAGTTTTCGAATGCTGTTTAATTCGTTAAGAGATTTAATTAATGTATTCATTTGGATTAGATATAGCAACATGATCTCTGAATTAAGAAAAAAAAAAACCTTTATTCTTTTCGTGAATCTGCAGACCATCATTTCATTTAGATCTTTAATTTTGTTTTGCTTTTGATTTGAATGAGCAAAAAACTAAGTATTTCTTTAAAATGTTAAAACTTATAAATATATGAGGAATTTGTTTTAACTGACGTATATCAAATGAAAGTAATAACTCTCATTAATTCTTGGTTGTTTGAATTCTACATTAAATATTTCCGAAAATTTTAATTTTTAAATAAAATAAGAACATTCATCTTTGCATAAGTATATAAACCAGAGTTCAAATATTTTAAAATATATGTTTCCTTGCAATGCGTTAAGAATCCCACAAACAAGCAACAGCTTATTTGTTTAATTAGTCTTAATATGTCAATCGCTGTACTACTTTCATCGCAAATTTATCGTTCAAATAATGGTGAAATTTTCCTGTTCAGATGAGTCTGGAATATTGACGGTACATTTAGCTTATATTGTCTAGGAGAACGATGCTGATTATATATCACGTAAAAATAAATACACATATTAGGCTTCTGAAGTCACTAACTATCTAAAATGTCCATAGTACACAGAGGTTTCTATATGAGACAAAGTAATTTGATTAAAAATGTTCGACATAGTATTCTCCTCATAAACTATTTTATTAAAAAGTTAATTTAAGTTTGGCACATGCAGCAGCACAACATACAAAAGGTGTGATAAATATGTAATACGTACATCGGCCATCTTTATCGAGTATTGCATACATAGCAATTTAGGCGCTTTTAAAAATTGAAAAAGAAAAGCATTTCTGGAAAAACCATTATTGGAATTATTAAGCCATGTTTTATTTGGTCATGACCTGTCCTTGTTCCTCCTTGGTGCAGCGCATAAAAGCAGTTCATCTTCAATTTCTCACCGCTCTGTCTCGTCTTTTTCCACTTGTTCGCTTTTTCTCCTTGTCTTGGAATGTGATGCATGGTCACCCACCTTTCTCTCTCGCCTCTTACTTTTAATTTACCTGCTGGGAATCTACTACTGTCATGTGCCCTCTGGGCCTTTTATCATGAGCCGAAAACGTCGCGCTTTGCGCGATATATCGGCACTATTTCTAAGAATACGGATAGGTCAGGAATTCTTGTCCCACGTGACCAGTCTTATGCGTTGCTTTTTAAACATCGAAGCAAAGGGTTTCTTTTTGTATCATCTCTTCATTTCTACCTCGTATGGATAACTTTCAACTTTGGATTTCATCATATGTCACGCCCTGTCGGGATTCTATGAGGATACTGGCAAGAGCAAGAACGAATTTTCCTGCTGAATACCAATACCAGGAAAAACACCAAAGCATTATCAGGAATCCTTCTTGCACTTACTTTTGAGAGTGATGTGAAAGCCTGCTGATCGAAGCGAATCTGATAGAAGGCAGATTGTAATGGCCCGAGGGCTCGGAACATGTACCTCCCAAACTGCATTACTGGTAGGTTGTGCATATCTACCGTTGTTAGTTTTTATGCAAAGTGGATAAATGACGGTGAAAACAACCAATCTAGACGCCAAGTGCTGGACGTCCCTGCGTCATCAAAGGAAAAAGACGTGTGAGACGGTTCTGCTTGCTACAGCAAAATCGTCGCCAAGGATAGGCTTACTGATAGCCCAAAAGAATGCAGGTGCAAGTGCAAATGTTTCGGAACACACAGTTCAGCTTGCACATTTGATATGGGACTGCGCATTAGGTATCCCATTCATGTGCATCTCTTGACCAAGCTTCATTATCAACTCCATCTACATAGGACACGGCAAAATTTAGACTGGTCCTTGGATAAGTGGACGACAGTTGTCGGGTCAGATGAATCACGATTTTCCTTTCATCACGTCGATGTTAGATTCAGGGTACACAACACTCCAGGCTAAAAGTTGCTCCCTTTCTGAACAGCAGATCATACACAGGCTGGGGGAGGCGGTATTATGATTTGGGAGACAATTCTCTTTTGCGCTTCTGGGACCCTTAATTGTGGTTGTATAGACTATGGAAGCTTCGGAATTTCTAAACATAACTGCGGATTAGTTGCAGTCTTACATGATGTCTCTCTTCCCAACTTGAAATGCAATCTTCTAGCAGGACAACGCCCCATGTCACAAGGTTCGAGCTCTGTTTGAGTGGTTCGAGAGAGCATAAGGGTGTATTCCAATTAATATCCTGTCCATCTATCTCGACGGACCTTGAACACAATGGAACACATTTGGAATGGCATGGAGAGGCAGCTCAGAGCTCAAACACCATCATGTCGGAATATCTCAACTTTGCGTGATCGCTGCGTAGGCATTAAGTACAACCTATCTCCATCATCTACCACAAATTGTGGCATCCATGGAAGGAGAGATGTAGCTGTTTCGCAGACCAAATTTCCTCCAACGCTTTATTGAATAGGTAGCCATAATGTTTTATAGTATTTGAATAGGTGGCCATAATGTTTTTTAGTATCAGTGTATATATACATTATAACTATTAATATATATATATATAATTATATATATATATATATATATATATATATATATATATACATATACATATATATATATATATGGTATTTGCAGTAGATCGGCACTGGAAATGATGAAGCTTGGCATCAAAATCCGGACATGGCTGAGTGGCTTACAGCAGAAATGATGACAGTGAAAGATTTCATTTTGTAAAACTCCAGATCTTTATTCACTTAAAGCGGTAGATCATTATTCTTTTAGATTCTCCAAGACTGCATATGCGATGGTAATTTAGACTAAATACGGTTAACTTTAATTTACTGCGTCATACTGTAAGGATCTTAAGTTTTACTAACGTTTATTTTATTTTAAATCTTTACTATCACTTCTTATTTTCTACTTCCGGCCAGAATTAAAAGCGTTAACTTATTTATGCAAAATTTGTCTGGCGAACGCCAAGTACTTAAGTTGTGGCTTTTTGCCAAGCGAGAGAGAGGAAGGAGTTAGTCGAAGCAGGCCGCTTACCTTAGAAGTTTTACTCAGTTGCTGGTTGCCTTCCAGGCCAGAGGTTTAACCCTCTTGATAATTTTAAATGTATTGTAGTGTTGACAGTTCTCTGTACTACATACGGCTTCCCTGTTAATATAAGGCCAATCTTCCACGTTTATTATTCCAAATTTAAGTTAGAGTTTAGTTATATTTTTTATATTCTTACGTTCAGACCACAAGTAGTTGGTCTCTGTATTCCGAAGTACGGAAGTTATTGTAAAGAGTGAAAAATAAAGAGTTTTGTATACCCTTCCTGTGTATCTTGTCTACTTCCCACAGTTATTGAACATAGCTTTAGTAAGCTTCCTGTTCCGAGTGAGGTCTGCGCATGTTCCCAAAGAAAGTAAGCTGGAACATTGAACCTGATAATACTATTCAAACAAAGAAAGACAGACGGGAAGAGAGTGTATTACAGTGGCAGGTAGAGAAAAGCAATCTGACGAAAAATGGCGCGAACTCTTCATTTATAGCAGCGATTACGTAACATGCCAATATGTTCTCGAATGTACTCGTCTAGGGAGATCCGGAAATTGCGGAAAGTTAATTAGAAGTTACCTGTTCACGTAGAGCAAAGCCATCGTATTTTTTATATTTTACATATGTATATTGAATAATTATAAATATTTAATTTACATATAGATTATATATATAAATATTAAAATATAATTTCAGATTTCTATATTCCGATATCTTATAATTTCAGATATATAGATTTCTATATTGTGGACATTCCTACCGAAATCGACAAATAATAACTCTTTCCGAAAATCCTTAAAATCACTTAAACCTTAATGGTCTTCGTTTTTTATGTCAGGTGTGATTTTCCTCTGTAATATGTCAGCTGCTTTTCAGCTGTGCAGTGACATTTAAAAGTCACAGCAAAATATTCAAAATTTAAAGACTTAGTTCAATATAGCTTATAGAATAACTGCACAAT